GGAGGGGGTGGGAATGATCCTTGCTGTGAAGATTTGTTCCCTCTTTTAAGCTACTGCATCCACAGGTGTAGGTTTTAGTTAGTTTTTGATTCTCTGTATTTTTTAATGTTTCCACAATATCAAGTTTGCAAAACATAGAGAAAATAAATAACAAAACTTTTAAAAATACGCAACTATGAAATCTAAGTAAAGGAAGGATCACTGCCTTAGAGCCAGGCTGCTCCTTGACCCACACCGTTCAGAGAACACACTCAGAACCTCACAAAGGGTCTGCACACCTTGACCCTGTTTTTAAGCACTAACCTTCAGGAGCTTGAAGCGAGAAGCTGGAACAATGAAGTGTCTATTCTGCTTCTTCTTGCAAATGCTGCAGCTACAAAAAGACAGAGCAAAATCCCAGATTTTGAATAGCCATCTGCTTCTTCTTTTGCCTGATGTATTCCAAGATTCAGGTGAACACAACCCTTTCAGCATCAACCAGGGAAGAGGGAACTTTGACGCATAAACCAGCACCTGGAGACTCCACTGTGTATGTGCAGAAGAGCTCACGGGTCCCCAAGCCAGCAGCTGAGGTCACACACCCCTCAGAATACCAGGAAAGCAACTGTGGGTTCCAGAGACACTTAGGAAAAAAAATTTCAGACATTGCTTCAATCTCATGCTTCCTGGATATCCACATCAAAAAATGAATAAGAAGGCTTAGGTTTCTCTGTTTCCTCAACTTTAGGAAGCTTAGCTTCAAGTACAAGAGGCCCTCAAATTCACTGTCTTTGCAATTCTATCTAAATTCTCTCTTTTCAAGGAACCCTGGTGGTGCAGTAGATTGTTAGGCTGCTAACCAAAAAGTTGATGGTTCAAATCCACTAGTCAATTCGTGCAAGAAAAATGAAGCAGTCTGCTTTCCTTCATGGTTACTAGGAATAGGAATTGACTTGAAGGAAGTTTGGTTTTTTGGGGTTCCCTCTTTTGGGTTCACTTTTTTCAAATTCTAATTTAGTAAAAATTCTTCTAACAAATTATTCCATGATGCTACTTCCCCAATCTGGAATCTGCTGTGAGTAGCCTGGTCACTTCTCCACTTGAATCCATTCCACGATATTTCTTTATTATTTATAGATAATTAGGGTATCTGGAGTCCTGCTGTGGCGCTTACTGTAGGATCAGGTAGTTCAAACCCACCAGCTGCCCTTTGGAACCTTTACTCAGCAGGGGTGGCAATGTCCAGCCCTCAGGTCTTAGGCCTGTGAAACCATGTGGTCTGGCCCTGCCAAGGCAACCTCAGTTCCAGCCATCACGTTGTTGTTAAGTGCCGTCAAGTCGGTTCCGACCCATAGCAAGCCTGTATAGGATTTCCTAGGATGCGCTGGTGAGCTTGAACTGCTGACCTTGCAGTTCAATCCAATTTTGCAGCCCAGCATATTAACCCACAGTGCCACACCAGGACTCCCCACAAGCTCTGAGGACTCTGCTATCGTCACTGGAGACTGTGCTTTAAGAGTGAGCTCAGTAACACACACACACAGCAGAATCCATTTATTTTGAGTGCGCCCCACCTTTTTAAAAAGAGAACAAACCATAATAATAAATCCTTATGTACCCATCACCTGGGGAGCACAGTGGTTCCATACAGTTAACACTGGACTGCAAACCACAGGTTGGTAGTTCAAGCCTACCTGCTGTTCTGAAGGAGAAAGATGAGGCTTTCTACTCCTGCAAAGATTTAAAACATCAGAAACCTCATATAGGATAGTGATGAGTCAGAATTAACTCGATGGCACTTGACAACACCCATCACCTGACTTCAACGAGTATCAACTTAAGGCCAAGGTTGTTTCAGCTATAATTTCCCAAATTATTTTGAAGCATTTCATTTTTGCTCTAAATTTAAGTCAAGTTGGTAGGAGAAAATACTCACTTGCAGTCAAAGATATGTAAGTCGGCTGAGGCCCAAACTTCAAAGCGAACAGCTCCACAGTGGCAACCGCCTGTGTGTTTCACCAGGCCCTGATATTCACTAAATGAAGCAAAATCCAGAAAGATTAAGAATTTCTAAATAATCTGGCAAGGGCCTTTTTTCATAGCTCAAGATCTCTCTTTCTTGTTCTCTGTTATTATTGTTAAAAGAAGCAAGATAGGACAAAAGATTTTTATATGTGACAACAGGAGGCTTTTCTGCTTTTAAGGAGGGACTGTCAGTTTTATAAAAGAAAGGATTCAGTGCCTTCTTTATCCATGAACTCTCTTCTTTTCATTTGTTAAATTACAAAATAAAGCATTCCAAAAATCTGGAAAATATGGTGATGAGACGGAGGGTACTATTATTTTCATATGTATGTTAGATACTTTCTAAGAATTTCTATGAGCTAGGCAAGAGATACAAGTTCTGCTCTTACCAACCTGAAAGAGACACCAAAAAAATTACCGAAATATGGTTGTGATAAACCTAGTAAGTCTATGAAATAGCAAGACAGAGGACCTGACTGGGTTTGGCGGTTTAGAGTAGACTTCTGAGAAAGTAACAGGGCTCTTAAATTTTGCTGCTTCCCTCTAGTATTTTTCAGATACATGACATTTTACATTGTTGTAAAAGTACATCACATACAATCTCAGTCCTTTTAAAACCTATTATATTATTTGCCAGACCATCATTGAACATTGTTAAGATTTTGTAAATAGCAGCAAATCACTTTCAAAAGGGGCCAAATACTTTTAGCTGTAAAAAAAGAAGAGAATCTCAATTACAAGAAAAATAGTTCACTGCCGTTTTATTTGTATTTCTTTAAGACTGAATGCTTTCTCATGTTTCTTACAAGTTGAATTATTTCATTTTATATATTTAAAAAGTTTTCTGCATACACAAATAATGCTTACTGCAAAATGTTCAAACATTACAAAATTAGATAATATTAAAATTGAAAGTTTCCCATAATCCTAACTCCCAGAGAGATCCACAGTTAATTATTTCCTATATATTCCTCCAGACTTTTTTTTCCCCCTATATTTTAATAATTTAACAAAAATGGTCCAGTGCTCTATATTTTGTGGATAAGTTAATTTAGTAGGTTACGGCTTTTTTTAAAAAGTGAAAATATACTCATGCAATCTAACAGGTGTTTGTTTGCTTTGACCATGTTATCAGTTAGGAGTCCTGGTGTGACGCTGCAGGGTAAGCACTGGACTACTTAACCACAGGGTCTGTGGTTCAAATCCACCAGCCACTCCTTGGGAACCCTATACAGTCACGGTGAGTTACAACTGACTCCACGGTACATAACAACAGCAGATGTTTGATGAATGATGAATATAAAATGATCAACCTATCTTGTTTTTAAATTCCCTGGAGTCGATTTTGACTCACAGCAGCATAATAAAGGAAAAACTTAAGCATCCAGAAAACCAAATATTCAATCTCTGAGAAACTTCATCCTAAAAGAATTTCTTCTGAAACAAGGGCAAAAAAAAAAAGTGCAATTCTCAGGTTGTTATGCAATTGTTAAGTGGGTCCTGTCTTAGTTTTTCCTAGTGTTTTGACATACCTTTTCTATTCATGAAATAATTAACATTTAAATATAATTAGGATACTAGGGTGTAGCACAATTATTCTTCAGGGAAGGGATCCAAATGCTGTCACATTCGGCAGAAAGAAAGCAGCAATGGTTGCCAGGGTTAATAGCTAATCTCCAAGAATATCGTGGATACCCTTTGGAACCCTCTAGCCATCTAAGGAAGGAAGAGTCCAAGGCTCTGGAGTATCCGTTGGTAGAGAACAGAAAAGCCTCCTTCCCCCTAGGGAACCTAGCCGCTTTTCCAAATCCTCGTTGGGCGCTCTTCTCCCAGAGATCAATAAACCCCGTCCCACCCTCTGCTCCCCTCGGGGAGTGTCTGGAGCAATAATGGGATCTCTGGGCCTTGTAGGTTCAAAACCGTAACAGCCCTTCTCAGCGCCCTTACCTTTCCTCTTCACCAGATCATCACCATCACCGCCCCTGAAAAAAATTCAAACCCAGTCCTAACACAAAAAAGAACCGCAGGTTGCAGTAAAGTCGTGGGATTTATCTTTCCTTCCCTGGGAAAGGCCCGCTCACCCTTTGAGCTCCAGGACAAGAGACCATGTCTCGAGCACCGCGGGCCTCCCCGACAAGACTCTTTGTGTCCCAGGTCGCCTGCGCTGCCCGCTCCTGGCTTATCTTAAGTCTCTTCCAACCCCGTTAGGGCGAGTCCTGGTTGCAATCGGTAGCCACACATCCCCGCACAGCCCTTAGAACTACGAACCGATCCCGGGAAAGCGCAGCGACCCTCACGTGACACACGCGGAACAGAACATGGACCAGAACCTGCGGGTCAGGAGAACCGCCGCGGCGAGGGGCCGACACAGACCGGTACCCGCAGCACTCACAAGGTATCCAGCAGGAGCTTGACGGCGTCCTCGCAGGTGAGCCGCTGCCGCTTCTGGAACGCCTCCCAGCGTTCCTTCTGGTCGCCCAGCTCCAGCGTGGCTGCCGAGGACGTTGGGGTCGCCGGGGTTGGTGGCGGCGGCGGCGGTGGGAGCAGCGCCAGCTCCGCCGGCGACTGGTCCCGGGGGCCCGCCTCCTGGGCCCGCGGCGACAAATGTCTCGGCCTCCGTTTTGTCGACGGCTGCCGCCCGGCCGCTATACCCTCACTCCCGGCCTGGCCTGTGGGGCGCCGTGCACGGCTGGCACCGGGGACTGAAGCGACGGACACCGAGGCTGCGGGTCGCTTTTGCCCGTGCGGCTTGGCCGCCACGCTGCTCCTTGCCAGCCGCATGGCTCCCGCAGCTTGGCACACAGGCCTCGGCGCGCCGCGCGCTCCCGCTCCGACCCGCGCGCGCTCCCGGCGGTCGCCGCCAACCCAGGGGGCGCTGCGCTGGGCGGCCGGGGTCGGCATGTCGCACCTAACTGCCTGCCTCCCGCCCTCTGGAGGGAGTCCCAGTCCCACCGCCCACGCGCCTGTCCTTAGGGTAGTCACCTGTCCAGCTCGGCGCCTAACGGGACTGCTCCCAGCGTCCATTTCAACCCGCGAAGCCACCTCGGTGCCTTCGTGACCTAAGCAGTCCTGAGTTGGGCCAGAATTCCCAGCCACTTCCGAGCGGGCTGCCTGGGATACCTTCATCTTCAAAATGAGCCTGTCTGCTGGATTAGCAACAGTCGAAATCATAGTTCTTAATTTGGTCTCGCTACCAGATTATGACTCCACGGCACACCACCACCACCAAATTATGAAACAGTGTTTTGAGGATATCAATGGTCAACATATTATTTTGTTTTGTTTTGATTTAAATGAATGAACCCTTCGCCAAATTCCTTCATTAAGGATTTTGCTGAACACAGCATCGAAGTTTGCAGACAAAAATCTCAAGAACCATTATGGAATGTAGATATTTTCTGAACCTGCTAGTTTTCCTATCTCAGTAATATCTGCAAAGAAATGGCATTTCTTTTTTTTCTCATTCTTATAACGTTTCTACTTTAATTTCATCTTTATCAGATCCCTATTTTGTTTGTTTTCTACTTTTTATTTCTTGTCTATAGACAAAATCATCAATTTTATACTCAACAAATCATGCACTTTGTTTCATCTCAATGATTGCAGTCCCCTCCATGCTTTCTACCTGTGGTTCCTATTTACATTCCACCCTCCTGCCCATCCCTTCCCAACTTTGCCCTTAAGTAAATGTTGTCCTTTTGATTTAAATGATTGATCATTCCACGATGATCATTCTGTACTAGTGTTGTTGGTCCCCTATATTCTTAGCTACTGCTTGGCTGACAATTGGTCCATGAGGGTGTGTTCCTTTCCAGACTTGCAGGGTTGTCGAGGGCCTTAGTCTCAGGCTCCTCCAGTCTCTTTCTGACCAGTAAACTGTCTTTTAAAAAAATAATTTGGAGTTTTGTTCCACATTTGCTCCCATTCTATCCGGGACTCTCTAATGTGATCCCTTTCAGATCAGTTGTTAGTGGTAGCCAGGCACCACCTGGTCGTGAAGACTGATGTTCACATGTACTACTACTTAGTCCAGTGGACTCATTGATTTGAAGCCTATTCAATTCTTGTCACTCTTCTTTCTTCTGCACATAAAGAGACCAAAAACTTCACCTTAGGTGGCAGCTTTTTAGATCCCAGCCCCTACTCATCAAAGAATGATACAGAACCTGGGGACTCCTGAGCCCATGGACAAGGACATAGCCATGGAGGGCTAGAACTGAGAGTGAAGCATCCAGCTCATATGAAGTGATGGAAGATGCACAAGAATGCCCAAACTTGTGGATAGTGTCCATTCGACCTAACTTCGATGGCTTGATGATCAGAACTCAACTAGAAGAAGATAAAGATATTTGATACAGGAAGCAAGTGTAAATTGCTACAATTGACGAACTTGACCTATACTTATGGATGTGGTGGTGATGGTGGTGGTGGTAATTATGTGCCGTGGAGTAGGTTCCGACTCATAGCGACCCTGTACAGGGTTTCCAAGGTTGTAAATCTTTAAGAAAGGAGATAGCCTTGTCTTACTCCTGTGGAACAGCTGGTAGTTTCAAACTGCTGACCCTGAGGTTAGCAACCCGATTCATCACCACTACACTACCAGAGCTCCTTACTTATGGATGTAGTAGCTCAAAATACCAACTGAGGGGGAAAGAGACTTCACATCAAGGATCAAACCTATCCCCTCTGTACACAGGGTTGATAGGGTCAGTCAACTTAAGACATTAGCTATGTAAAATGGGATGGGGGTGGGGCTATAAAGTGGCTGGCTTGCAAGTTTTCAAGAGGGAGTTTAGTTTCAGAGCGAGCAGGGGACAGTAGAATCCCCACTGAATTGTTTTCATCTTTCTAGATGGGTCTGGTGAAAGGAGGTGGAAGTAGGATTCTTATGATTCAATTGTGAGTAATTGTTATTAAGACTAATTACGATTGTTACAATTGTAAAGGTAGAAGTTTTGTAGCAAAAACAGGGGAGTAGTTAATCTTACATTTCAGAACAGAGGACCCTAGGACCATCAAGGCAGAAGAGCATGGGTGGAACATGGTATCCTAACTAGAGAAGTAGAGATGGAGGCAGAAATGATGGCATGGAAAGAAAGAGCAGCTGAGGACTCTAGAGTCATGGAAAGAGAAAGACTATGTGCTGGCTGCCAGGAGGCTGGCTTGCAAAATGTGCCCTTTTGTTATTTAAACAATTATATATTCCTATGTGTTTTTGTGTACATCAAAAAAAAAAAAAAAGGGGGAGGAGGAGAATAGAGGCAAATACTGTTAACCAATAGTACATGGAGGGGATTGTAATCATTACAATGAAACAAAATACGATTGATTGAGTGCAAAGCTGATGTTCTTCCATGTGGGCTATCACTCAATTCACAATAAAAGCTTAAAAAAAAAAATGATAACTGGAATGTGATGCAAATTAATCTATGCAGTTGGGGGAGGGGCACATTAGTGAGGAGGTGGGACCATTCGTAAATCAAGACTCCCAAAATTTTTAAGCTCACCATTGTGAGTTTATAAATATTTGGAGTACATGGAGGTTCATTATGTGTACCGTTCTCTCTACTTTCACATAGTATGAAATTTTTATAGCAAAATAGCTATTGAAAATGATGTTTGAAATATGTAATTTGTTAATGTGGAAAAGAGGTATACAACATATTGTTGTTATTGAAAAGTTTTAAAACAATGTGTAAAGTTAAAAATCTCATTTTAGACTTTATATATGCAAATGCAGACCAAAATGTAAACCAGTGATTATGAGATTGCAAGTCTTTTTTAATTTAATTTTATTATTCATTGAGTTTTCAAATTTTTCTGTATTGAAAATGTATTTCTTGTATAATAAAAATGTTATAATTAAAAAATGAAAAGAAATGAAAAAGAACCAATAGTACTGAAGGAAGAAGTCCAAGCTGCATTGAAGATAGCGGTGAAAAACAAGACTCCAGGAGTTGATTGCAATACAAACTGAAATCTTTCAACAAACAGGTGCAGCACTGGAGGGGCTCACTCATTATGCCAAAATATTTCGAAGACAGTTATCTGGGGGGCAACTGACTGGAAGAGATCCATATCTATGCCCATCCCAAAGAGAGGTGACCCAACGGAATGTGGAAATCATCTGACAATATCACTAATGTGCCATGGAAGTAAAATTTTACTGAAGATAATTCCAAAACAGCTGCAAAAGAACATGAACAGGGAATTGCAGGAAAACTCGAGCTGGATTCAGAAAAGGATGTGGAACTAGAGATATCATTGCTGATATCAGATGGATCTTGACTGAAAGTAGAGAATACCAGAACGATTTTTGCTTGTGCTTTAGAATGTGTGGACCATGACAAACTATGGATAGCATTGTGAAGACTGGGTATTCCAGAACACTTAATTGTGTTCATGGGGAACTTGTACATAGACCAAGAGGCAATTATTACACCAGAACGAGGGGATATGGCATGGTTTAAAATCAGGAAAGTTGAGTGCCAGGGATATTTCCTTTCACCATACTTAATCTCTCTGTATGTTGAGCAAATAATTTGAGAAGCTGGGCTATATGAAGAGCGTGGCATCAGGATTGAAGGGGAGACTCAATAACAACCTATGATATACAGATGATACAATTTTGCTTGCTGAAACTGAAGAGGACTTAAAATTCTTACTGATGAAGACCAAAGACCACAGTCTTCAGTATGGACTGCACCTCAATATAAAGAAAACAAAAATCCTCACAACTGGACCAGTAAATAACATCATGATAAATAGAGAAAAGATTACAGTTGTCAAACATTTCATTTTTCTTGGATCAACTATCAACACTCATGGAAGCAGCAATCAAGAAATCAAACTATGCATTGCATTAGGCAAATCTGCTGCACAGGACCTCTTTAAAATCTTGAAGAGCAAACACATAAGTTTGAGGACTAAAGTGTGCCTGACCCAAATCATGGTATTTTCAATCACCTCATATGCTTGTGAAAGTTGGGCAATGATTAAGGAAGACTGTAGAAGAATTGATGCATTTGAGTTATGGTGCTGGAGGAGAATATTGAAAGTACCATGGACTACCAGAAGAACAAACAAATCTGCCAGAATGCTCCTTAGAAGCAAATATGGTGAGACCTTGTTTCTCACACTTCAAACATCTTATCAGGAGGTCTTGTCCCTGAAGAAGGACATCATGCTTGGTAAAGTGGAGGGTCAGTGAAAAAGAGAAAGACCTTCAACAAGATGGATTGGCACAGTGTCAGTAACCATGGATTCAAGAGTAACAATTGTAAGGATAGTGCAGGAATGGGCAGTGTTTCATTCTGTTGTGCACAGGGTTGCTATGAGCTGGAACTGACTCCACAGCACCCAACAACAGGATAGATCTTAAAAGCATAATGCTTAAGGCAGGCATTCTTTAGCTGTTAAGATAAACTGTTGTTTGGTTTTAAGAAGATGTCACAAAGAGTATAATCAGTATCACTAATTGTACATATATACAAGAATTATTTATTTTAGAAGGATCAGCACAAGGCTGGTCTCTATAAGGTGGAAATTAAAGACATCCCAAAATTTGACTTTTCCAATATGTTTTATCACTCCATAATTTCGGAGTCCTGGTGTGGCACTGTGGGTTAATGCGCCAGACTGTAATGCCATTTGAACTGCAAGGTCGGCGGTTCAAGCTCACCAGCTGCTCCTTGGAAACCCTATACATGGTTGCTATGGGTCAGAACCAACTCGACAGCACTTAACTACAACAACAATCTCTGATACCAACTACCACTCCT